AGTGCGCGCGCCGCTCGGGGGCGGGGCCGCCGCCTCACGTGGCCCGAGGCGCGGCCTCCGCGCCGAGGTTTGACGCCTCTCGGGACCCGTCGGAGGGAGCCGCCCTCGCCCGCCCGGGCGCACGGAGGGGCAGCCGGAGGCCTGAGGCGCTCGGGTGCGGGCCGCGCGCCTTTTATAGTCAGGGGACCCCGCGGCCTCGGCCGCCTGAGTAAACAGCTCCGGGGCTGACGGGCCCGCCCCAGGCCCTGCGCGTCACGGGGCGCCGCCTTCTTCGTTCTCCCTCCGGGCCAGCCCCGCCCACTCGTGCGGGAGCGGGACAAGGCAGCCGCGGCGGGAGCTTAGCTGGAGACGCCTCTGGTTAATCATCACCCTGAATGCTGTGACCGACGTGGCGAGTCCCAGGCTAGCCCGGGCGACGCGCTGTAGAACAAAGCCCTCTTGCAAGCTAAGGCCAAAGACAGATCGCAGTTGCCCCTTCGGGCAAAGCGAGCGTAAGGACCTTCGCTGCTTTCCTTTTGTCTTTTAAAGTAGCATTGTGGCCACAGTGAGTTCTGGGACCGCCCGGGCTGCGCAGAGAAACCCTGTGCAAAACAAACAACAACAACCGAACAAAAAACCCAGCACTTTTGCAAAAGTACTGTGTGTCGAATAAGAACTTCAAAGATAGACCCTTCCCCACAGGCTTTGGTCTGTCCCTGTTTGCGAGTTGGGTAGAGGAGGTCCTTTGATCTGAGCTAGTTCTCAACCAAAGCATCAGAGTCCACTGCACGTGCAAACTAGAATTTAGTTGAGACACTTGATTCTGGCTCTAGTTTAGTAATTTCAGTTAATGTATCTTCATCCTAATCCCAATTTCAGTCTTTTCTGAAATTAGATTTTGTAATTTGAAAGTCATTAATGGCAATGAAAAAAATACTTAGCTTTGTTCTTACCGAGCTTAAATACAAGAAAGTTACACGGTTGTGTGGTAACCAGTGCAATTAAATTGCTTTCTTCCTAAAAAGAAATAATCATCTTCTGTTGTCAGTCATGTAGATGAGAAACTACATGCTTCTTCATAGCTAAGCTTTATGATTGAGTTGTCAAGGGAGGATATAGTTTGTTAGTTTAACAATCATGGGTGGGATTAAAACAATAAATGGGTGCCTGGCATGGTGGTGCACGGTTTTAATGCCAGCACTCAGGGGTCAGAGGCCGGAGGATTTCAGTGGCCGGAGGAGGCCAGCTGTTCTAGGCCTGCCAGGATAACATAAAAGCCGTGTATTTAAAAAATAAAATCTGCAAGTGGCTTGCAGACACTGGATTTGAAAGGTTTTTTTTTTTGTTTTTAAATGGGCCATATTTCTGATCAAACTAACATTCTGGAGCTCCACTGTGATCATAAAGAATGCTTCCTTGTTATAACTGCTTTAAGAACATGTGCCCTTGATTAAACAACAAAGAGCAGTAATGTAAAACGAGAAAAAAAAATGTGATTCAGAAAAAGGGCTAAGACTGCACATCAGGCAATAGGAAAAGACGATCTCAACAACAGAAAGTGAAGCAACATCGAAAGTTCTAAATAGGACAGAAAATTTTTTTAAATAAATAGTGAAGGAAAGAGGGTAGATAGAACTTTATAAAAAATGCACAGGCTGACAAAATTTTAAGTCTACTGCTTGAAAAGCTGAAGTATAACTTATTTTTAATAAAGATTTGAACTATTAATATCTGTTTTCTGAATTCAGGATAGATGTAAACAGAAACTACTACAAGTTGGCCATGGTATAATTTTTGAAACTATAACAAGAAAACAGTATATCTCTTCAGTTAGAATAGGCGCCCTATCATAGAGGCATTCTACCCAACAGGGTATCAAAGCAGATGCTGAGACTCATAGCCAAACTTTGGGCAGAGTGCAGGGAATCTTATGACAAAAGGGGGAGACAGAAAGACCTGGAAGGGACAGGAACTCCACAAGGAGAACAACAGAACCAAGAAATCTGGGCACAGGGGTCTTTTCTAAGACTGGTACTCCAACCAAGGACCACACATGGAGGTAACCTAGAACCCCTGCACAGATGTAGCTCATGACAGCTCAGTGTCCAAGTGGGTTCCCTAGTAATGGGAGCAGGGACTGTCTCTGACATGAACTCACTGGTTGGCTCTTTGATCACCTCCCCCTGAGGGGGAAGTAGCCTTACCAGGCCACAGAGGAAGACAATGCAGCCAGTCCTGATGAGACCTGATAGACTAGGATCAGAAGGAAGGAAAAGAAGGGTCAGATGGAAGGGGAGGAGGACCTCCCTTATCAGTGGACTGGGGGAGGAGCATGGAAGAAGAAGAGAGCTGTGATACAAAGTGAATGGACTGTAATTAATAAAAAATTAATTAATTAAAAAATAGCCTCCCATGTAGAGAAAAGGTCTTTATTTTCATTTTTGTGCACTCCCCTATATTTGACTTCCTACCATTCATTGCAGGCATGACTTCTTTTATAATTTTTTTTAATGTAAATGTAATAAGTAATGGTTTTCTTCACAACTTTTTCGTACATGTGTCAGTGTATGTTGTTCCTTCAATCTACCATCACCTTCTCTTGCCACCCACATCCCTGTCTTCCCTCCACACTAACCCCCTTCTGCGTATGTCCTGCATGGGAGGATGCACAGTGTTTGCTTTCTTCTCCTTATCTCTTCCTTTCAAACCAAACCCTTCTTCCTCGAGCTCCGTCCCTTTTCTGTGCCCGAGCACGTGTGCACACACACACACATTCTCTCATATACAATACACAGGCCCACACGTTCTCACACAGAAACATGCACACACACTCAAACCCACACTCACATTCTCTCACACACAATACACAGGGATACACATTCACACACACGTGCACACAGACATATCTATATGTATCCTTTTCTGTATATGAAGAGAGATAAATTTGAATATTCATGTACAAGAGAAAACATGGGTTTTTCTGAGTCTGGTTTATTTCCCTTCACATGGAGATGTCCAGTCTATGCATTTTTGCAGGTGTAATTTCTTTCAGCTAATTTTCACTGATTGGACTCATGTGTCTGACTTGCCTGGTTAATTTTTTTTTTTTCTAGGTTGGGTTGAAAGGTCCCTGAGAGTCATTTATGATTATATCCCCACTCCCCTCCCTGCCTCAGCATTTGAGTAGCAGATTTATAAATAGTTTTAGGTTAAAGAAGACTAACATCTATTCAGCACACACATTTATCAAGAACTTGACATTTTATTTTCCACAGCAGTAAATTACATTTCAAACGGCTTCTGATGTAATTTATTAAGAAGGCCTTTGGTCCCCACCTCAGAGGGCAGGAAACCTGAGCTGAGAAATGAAGAGTACATGTCGTGTATGGCATAGACAGTGAGAAGCAGGGTAGAAATTTAGCTGTACAGCTGTGTGGCTCCAAAGTCCATGACCTTTAAATTACAACACCCTGCTGCACTGACCTTGTGCCGTGTGCTTTTTTTTTTTTTTCTTAAACAGAATGGTGAGATTTTTCAGATAGTGAGTAGACAGGATTTCCAAAGGCATCTACCCACTCCTGACGCTTCAAAAATGCTGTGATTGTTAGAATTATAAGGCAATTGTTGAGACTGGGAGTCCTTTAGGTATCAGGCATCAAGCAGAGGAGACCACTTAGGTGAAAAATAAGTTGGAGGGGCTATGCTTTCGTTACGTGGTCCAACTACTGCAGGACCACAGTTGATCAGAGAGGCCCAGAGGATAACCGACGCCCGTCTGAAGACTGCCTGGAAGCTTATCATTTGTACGACACTGCCCAAATGCAGACAGTCAGAAGCGTGTGCCTGTGTGGACGTGTGCAATTCTCAGTGTCTTTTAGGAATTTAAGGAACCCAGATGGCAATCATGGAAGCAGACTAGAAGGACACACAGAGAGTGTCAATAATTTTTGCCAGTTGAAACCTACGTGCAAAGATATGCTGGTGTCTAGGGTTCCCATTGTCCGTCAGATGAAGGTCAGATGCTTAGACTGGAACACATGGTTTTGAATTATTTTTATTGCAGAATTCCTATCACTTTGGTTTATCTACATATCCCTCAGATGAATTAAAGTTCTCTCGTGTTCATATCACGTAGTTCAAGTCTTAAAAATAAAAATCAGTAACTTGGAGCCAGGCAAGACTTTTAGTCCTAGCACTCAGGAGGCAGAGACAGGTGGATCTCTGTGAGTTTGGGACAGCCTGGTCTACATAGGGAGTTCTAGTCTGGCCATAGCTACATAGTGACCCTGTCTAAAGAAACAAGTCCAGAAGAGTAACTCCCCATCTGAGGCAAAAGTAAAGGTAGTTAAAACTTTAGTGATTTTTTTTTTTTAGTTATTATTTTCAGTAAGTATACAAAAATGCATTTCTTTATCATGTCTTGCATATCGTTGAACTTTGCTGGAAGCTGTAGTGTTTCAGGACATCCTAAGGAGTCAGCCCTTGGGTTTCCTGGGGGCCATAGACAGTTTAAAGTAACCAGTTTAGATGTCAGTGGCTTACAAGGGCTTGGAAGAAACAGCGAGCCTTGCTGGAGAACTGAGAGATGAAATGGCTTCCTGTATGCCTTTCCTCA